CCTTTTCTCTCGTCCTGTCGGAAGCCCCATCCCAGGCTTCCTTCCTTGGACCCCAAAGCTGTACAAACAGAACCACCCCCCCCCCACTTCATGGAGAACGACTTGGAAAAGGCACTGATGGGGACCATTAGAACCTGGTTTTAACGTCTCCTTCTTACCCGGGCTAAGAAAAATCACCTGAACCTGTCCTTTCTTGCCTGAGTCTTTGTTTCCTCTTCAGTCATATTTTCTTTTCTCTGGACTAGAATGGTTAGGAGAGGAAGATATGTTTGAACGTGAATCTCGGGTCCTACGAGGGTAGCAGGTAGCCTTGGGCAGGTGCCCACGCTGTGGGAAGGAGAGGATGGTACCGACCGCACGGTGTGGCGGAAGGATTCACGATCTACACTTTGTGGAAGGGGAGCCGCGACGGTTACAGTCTGGGTAATGCTGGGTAGGCCCCATCCAAAGGTGCTTGGCTGAGTGGTCAGCTCTCAGCCCCTAGGGGACAGGTCTATCCCCTGATGCAAGGCACTGGCATTTTTCTGCATCTTGTTGCCATCTTTAAATGGTGACACTGTCTCTGCTTCCAGCCTGATGTCCCTGTGTGAGGCTGTGGCCTTGGTCTGGGATCAGCATGTTGATACGGTCCTGAGCCCCAGGGACAGGAGCTGACAGCACCTTCTGACTCCATCTGACTGCATCAGCTCCTCCCAAGAAGGCTGTGGTGGTGATGAAGCCCAATTAGACATGTGGAATCAAGAGCATCGGGCTGCAGTGTCACACCTGGCAGCCTCATGGTCCATCCATGTGTCAGGCCACCTTCTCTGAGCCCTTCAGGCTGGAGGCAAGAAAACAGGGCTTCAGTGACAGCATCTTCAAAGCCAAGTGACAGAGAAGGGGATGCACTCATAGCTTGGTTTGATCAACACTTACAGGCAGTTTGGATCGCTGTAAAATGAACAGATTAGGAAATGCAATTATCTGGATGATTGCTTCTGTTCACTAGCCTCCTTCACCTC